TTGCCATTGGTGCAGATAGTAATCAGACTTGCCGTGCTCCCAGTAGTTCTTGACGTAGTAACTCAGCGGCAAGTGCGTCTTGATGGGGTTCCGCTCCTCGTAATTGCGCTCTAGAACAGGAACCTTCACGTCGTGAATGCCGCTTAGAAATGCCGCCGCGTCCAGCGTCCCATCCGGCTTAATCCAACCGTCCGCAAATTTCAGCCAGCCAGTGTGACCTTCCAGCAAGAATGGTTCGCCTGCAAAGCGCTTGGCCTGGATCCTTTCCTTAGCGAGGCGGTTGCTTATGTTGATTACTTCCACCTGCTTGAAGTACAAGTACTCCCACTGCGTTGGGATCGTGTACGTTGGGTTCATGGCTCGGATCTTGACTTCCTCCGACTCATACTTGGTCTCCTCAGCCAATGCTGCTCTTAGGGGAGGCGACGCGATGTCCTTTTTGTTCTTTTCGCTCTCCTCCGCCTTCGGTCGCTTGCCTTCTGCTCCTTGTACTGTCGTTGTTGTCTTCTCCAACGAGCGTTTGCGTGCAGAGCCCTGTTGGTTGGCAAAGATCGGCGCCAATTTCTCTTCTGAAGCGGCAGTGGACTTAGTCGACGTCTTCGCTTCTCCCTTAGGCGCTGCCTCTGCCGCCACAGCTTCCACCTCCGCCACTACCGCCTCTGCAGCAGGTTCAGGGATCGTACCGCCAAAGAAGGGAGGACGCAACGGCAGCGGTTGACCCGTCAGCACTACAATAACAAGCGTATTAGTCTTCTGTCCCCTATAAATGGACCAACTCCATACAAACCTCCAACGATGCTTCCCTTGAAGTACTCGAGCGCCTTCTCGTTGGCCTTCAGCAGCTCCAATACCCCTTCAATGGCTCCTGCTGCGCCAATCGCTCTATACCATCCATCAGTCTCCCCCTCTAGGCCAACTAAAACCTTCTACTACTCACTTCTCCTCCACCAATTGCGTGCGCAGCTCGTACGTCTTCTGACTCAGGTCCGGATATCCCGCAAGACCCTCGCTCACCTGAAGAAAAAAAAACGTTGGCATAATTATCAACCTCTCAATCCACCATCCGGAAGCAAAACAGGGAACGCACTTGCAGGA